AAAGTCTATATCACTGTAGCAAGAAGAGAAATATAGATAATTGTTATGTATAAAATATTACAAATAAACGCACAAAATAAAATTTTCGAAAATAGTCAAAAAAAATTGCATATAATTTGATGTTTCATTTGTGTTTTTCAATGCGTTTAAACGCTCAAAAATTTGTCACTATTTTTGAAAAAAAAAGTAGCCGTTTTTTGCCATCAAAAATTTAGATGCGAAAAATCTGTACAAAGGGGACAAACTATATAGAAAATTAGACACACTTTTTTTAATACCAAATTAGTACAAAAAGTGACATCATTGTCTGCCCGGGCAACGGCTACCGGTACAAGAAGAGCGATTAAAAAAAGTGGAGCAAATATTTTATCATATGAATTAATTACCAATTCACCAATACGAATAAGAAATAAAAAACAAAACGATATGTCATTTATGCAAGAAATGGAAACAACTCCGATGGAAGCTCGACAAATTTATTCAAGCCAAAAAGAAGTAATGAAGAAACTAGCTGAATTTTCAGGAGAAGCTGATGAAATTGATATTGATGAATGGATTTTTGATTTAAATAATTTATTTTCATTAATGAAATTAAAAGATGAGATAAAAGTGCTCGAAACAATGAGCAAATTAACAGGACCAGCATTACGATGGTATCAAGAAAATTTAAGATCATTCATTACTTGGAACGATGCTGAAAAAGCACTACGTGACCGATTCAAAGAATTTACATCCAACAGCCAATTAATGCAAGAATTTTTTAATATTCATCAAGAAGAGAACCAATCCGTTATATCATTTTATGAAAATGTAATTCGGAAATATAGAAAATCTCGACAGTTTATTACTGAACAACAAGTTATCACAGTGTTACAAAATGGTGTTGAAAATTCATTAAAAGAATATTTAATTCGTAATGAAAAAGAAATTAAAAAACCAGAAGAATGGTTGCAATTAGCAAAAGAAGAAGAATATATACAAAAGCGAATTCAACAACAACGTAATGATTTATCCCCTTCAAGGATCGTTACCTTGCAGCGGTGAAGGGGCTTGCGTATCTCGAGGACGAAGTGAGCTATACCGTAGGGTGTGCATACTCCCAGAAGGGTCACCCATGACGGGCAGGTCACAACCGAGAGATCAGACTAAATATGATCCACTGGAGAAGGAAATGGCAACCCACTCCAGTACTCTGCCAAGAAAACCAAATGAACGATTGCAACCAGGTAAATGTCAACATGGTACTGGAAGATGAGACCCTCAGGTCGGAAAGTACTAAACCAGCTACTGGGGAAGAGCAAAGAACAAGTACGAGTAGCACTGAAATTTATGATTCGGCTGGACCAAAGCCGAAAGGACGTCCAGCTGCTGATGTTTTCAGTGTCAAAAGGAAAGTTCAATGCTGTAAAAAATTACATACAATTGGAACTTGGAATGTTAGAACAATGAACCAAGGCAAACTCGAAGTTGTCAAAGAAGAAATGTCAAGGTTAAACATCGACATTCTCGGAATCAGTGAACTGAAATGGACTGGAATGGGACACTTTACATCAGATGATCACCAAATATTCTACTGTGGACAAGAAAAGCATAGAAGAAATGGAGTAGCCATAATCATTAATAAAGTATTGTCAAAAACAGTACTTGGATACAACCCAAAAAATGACAGGATGATTTCAGTTCGACTACAAGGCAAACCAATCAATGTCACCGTGATTCAAATCTATGCTCCAACAACAAACGCAGACGAAGCTGAAATAGAAGATTTTTATGCCAACCTGCAGCAACTCCTTGATACAACACCAAAAAAAGACGCTACATTCATCATAGGCGACTGGAATGCTAAGGTAGGAAGCAAACCAACAAATGGTATAACTGGAAATTTTGGACTTGGCACACGAAACGAAGCAGGCGATAAACTAGTAGAGTTTTGTCAAAATAACTCGATGTTTATAGCAAATACATTCTTCCAACAGCCTAGAAGACGACTCTACACATGGACTTCGCCGGATGGTCAACACCGAAATCAAATTGACTACATACTTTGCAATCAAAGATGGAAAAGCTCTGTGCAGTCAGCAAAAACAAGACCTGGAGCTGACTGCGGCTCAGATCATGAACTTCTTATCGCCAAATTCAAAATCAAATTAAAAACAACAGGAAAAGTATCCAGACCAACAACGTATAATCTTGACAATATTCCATATGAATACGTGGTGAAGGTGAAGAACAGATTCAATGGATTAGATCTAATAGAAAGAGTGCCTGAAGAGCTTTGGTCTGAAGTTCGCGACATCATCAAAGAAGAAGCAAAAAGAAATATTCCAAACAGGGAAAAACTTAAGAAAACAAAGTGGCTGTCTGCTGAAACATTGAAGGTAGCTGAAGAAAGAAGAAAAGCAAAAAACAGTAGAGATAAAGGGAAATTCATCAAGCTAAATGCCGAATTTCAAAAAATGGCCAGAAGAGACAAGGACAAATATATGAACGATCAGTGTCAAGAAATTGAAGATAATAATCAGAAAGGTAAGACAAGAGATCTTTTCAAGAAAATAGGTGAAATGAAAGGAACATTTTATGCCAAAACGGGGACAATAAAAGATAAACAAGGTAGGGACCTGATGGAGAAAGATGATATCAAAAACAGATGGCGTGAATATACTGAAGAATTATACAAAAATGATAACATAATTACTCATGCAACCGATAATACAATCACTGACCTAGAACCAGACATTTTGGAAAGTGAGGTCAAATGGGCCTTAGAAAACATTGCCAAAAACAAGGCTTCAGGTGTTGATGAAATACCAATTGAACTCCTTAGTATTTTGCAGGACGACGCCGTAAAAATATTGCGCACAATATGCCAACAGGTATGGAAAACACAACAATGGCCAAACGACTGGAAAAGATCAATTTATATTCCAATACCAAAAAACGGTAGTGCTAAAGAATGCTCAAACTACCGAACGATTGCACTTATTTCACATGCCAGCAAGATAATGCTCAAGATTCTACAAGCCAGAATGGAACAATACATGGAACGTGAAATTCCAGATGTACAAGCCGGGTTCAGAAGAGGCAGAGGAACCCGGGATCATATTGCAAACATCCGATGGATAATGGAAAAA